TATATGGCAACCCCACTTACTGAATGGTCCCGCCTCACTCTCCACCCATCTTCTTGACTCTCTTCCTCCCCAGTGATGTGGATCTTCTTGAAAATTTTCTGACTAGAAAATTTCCTAGGCCAAGTGGGCTAACTTGCATTGGATATTTTTTTTATGCCATAGGGAGGGATCTAACTTGGCATGCTTATTTTACTTGCCTTTAATAAACAAAGCTAACAACTCTGAAACTGCCAAACTTGCCTAACACTGTATTTGCAACCGGCACCCATTCGTTGTTAATGATGAACTTATGAAATCAAAAAGTACCCATGGAAAAATACAGCACTGGCAAAATTTTCGTGGAGAATTCTGTCCCACATCACTGTTCTTCCCCCAGCCACTTCAGAAAGTTCAGGCAACACAACCCACCGGTTCTTTCATTGCTTTTAAACCTTTATTGCTTTTCATTAGAACAGAAAATCATTGCCTCTTAAATATAAATTGAACAGGAGTGCTACAGCTCAGTAGCTTTAAAGCCAGTTGCTGACAATCCCACAACCGCCTGCACTCTATCAAGGCTTTTTGTAGAGTAAATTTATCTTCACACAAAAATGGACAGTTGAGCGTGATTTGGATCTGCTTTTACAGTCTATTTCCCGTTAATACTTCATATTTCAGAAATATATAGAATCTTTTGAAAAAGTCTGAGGCTGCTGGTTGGTCACCCTGGGTGTTCTGAACTCACAGGAACCTAACAAGCCTTCCACTTTGAGCAAAAGGACACCAGCTCATATTTTGTCACAACGGTGAAAACTAAGAGAAACATTCCCTGGCTGAGAACCAATCTTCCTTGCCGATAGCAATGTATATCATAAGTGCAAGTTCAGTACATGCCTGCACAATCACTCATACAGAAAGAGTAAAACACAGTCTGCCATTAAATATGCTGTGCCATGCTGAAATTTGGAGGAATATGGTTGTGTAACGAAACTAAGACAGTGCCACTCAAGTCTGAGATGAGGAAAGACCTGACTGTACATATTAAACAATTTGAAATATGCATGCAGTGGGTGGGTTGCCTTAAGGCAGCGATGGGGACCTTGTGGCTCTCCAAATGTTGAACTCCAGCTCCCATCAGCCCTGATGATTGGCCATGATGGCAGGGGCTGATGGGAGTTGGAGTCTGGCATCTGAGGGGATGAGGCACAGGATCCCCATCTCTGTCTCAATCTCTTAATGAAAGATGATATACACTATTATTTTGAAAGGCCACTCAGTTACCTAGTCCAGGTTCCTTTCAGTAGGCAATATTTTTCTTATGAAAAGGTACCGATAAATACTATTGGTAAATCTCACTTGTTGCCACACAGGGTACGTTCATGACAAACATTCACAATTTCATCACATGCATTAATTTCATCATATAAAAATCAAGGTATGAATTGGCAATTATTTTCTTAGGGGTAAGGTCATGACATGACCTTGGAACTGAAGAGAAACTATCAACAACTTTCTCAGGAGTGAAGAATAACTTCATTAGGTAATTAGAATATCAAGAAGCTTCCCACTAACTCCCAAAACTATGAAGAACTGCCACAGAGATTCAAAAAATCCACCTCAGGGTTGTATTATTATTGTTGTTGTTGCTTTTTACCCTGCCTTTTTCCTGACAGGAGCACAAGGCAGCTTACAGATAAAAGTAAGAACAGCTAGAAAAATAGGGGAAAACAATAATTTAAAAACAATCAAACATTGGTAGAATTAAGACACACTATAAACACACACACACACACAAATCTGTTAGAACCATACAAATACCTATGTGAAAGAGATGAATCACACATCTACTTTACCAAACAAATATTCTTAGAAAATACTCAAACTGCACTAATAGAGGCTGTGCAGGTGTCCACAGCATATATATACAACCTTCAACACCAATCTTTTTTTTTAACATACTGTAACACCATGACTAGAAATCATCAGTCTATCCATGCAGAGCTACACACACACACACACACACACACACACACACACTGGTGCAGATCAAGTTTTCTCTGGAGCAAGCACTGTGCCAAGAGGGTTGTGCGACTTAACCCGAAGAAGGTATGTGTCAAAACCAAGACTGAAAAAACACCATTAATAAATCTAAGTTTGATAGGATTATGAGAATAGTCTAAAAAGCCTGAAATGTAACACAGAAGCCAATTAAAATTGCTATAACTAAAATGCAGAATAAAGCACTTAGGGAAGAAATAACTCAAATGCAAGGCAGACACTGAACAGCTGGGAATTAACCAAAGCCTCTCTGAAAACTCAAGCACTGTAATGGGCAATTTAATGAGGGTGTCTATTGAGTGCAAAGCTCAGGCAGAGAAGCGATTAAAGGAGGGGATGGCTTTTAAATATGAAAGTTTTGCGTCTATTAAGGTTTATAAATTGATAATATAATCCCATTTTGACCCGTTAATGTATTTATTACAAGATAATATTTTACAAGTAACTGGCAGAAGGAAAGGGATTACAGGAAGCGTAGAAAGCAGTAAGGTTTCTAAATTGCTAAGCAGAAAAACCTGCAACTATGAGTGGGGATAGGGCCATTTATTTTGGAAGACAAAAACCTGTCAAGAAAGAACTATGCTAGCTTAACTGTATTTTCCCCCCATCTCTTCCCTCACCAGCTTTTCTTACAGTGAATTAATAGCCTCTCCGTCATTATAAAGAAGAGAAAGCTATGTTCAATAAGACGACTAACACAGCATCTAATTAGTATTTTGAGCAAACTGCTACAGGATACTGTCGAGTTAGTTTAGCAAATGCAGCGGTGTCCATCCAATTTTAAATAGCTATGAGGTAAACTTCAAGGCCAGTCATCATTTAGCCTCAGGGTAAACTGTGGTTCGACATAATTTTGTGCACAAGCTCTAATGCAGTTTGTATATCGCAGTGAGAAAGGCTGTGTACAGTTGTTTATCATAACCAACTCACTGCATCTGGTCCAGAGGCTTCCAAATTTAGCTAGATAATCCCAATCTGGTGCATCTGACAGCTGCTGAAGAAGATTGGGAGCCCAGACCCACCAGCAGTTCAAGCCACCAACATTTCGGTGCCTGAAACAGTTGCAGTGATGGATACCACATAAGACCATACGTATCCTACCACTGGCAGGCTCTCAGCCAGTGGTTAACTCAAATAAAGCTCCCAAAGGCAGTTTGCAGGACTGAGCCAGCCCATAATTCTCTGAATGTGCTCCCTCCAACCCTGGCAGAGTGAACAGTAAAACAGCATAAGCAATGGTGACTGCCCAGCTAGAGTCTGGCTTGCAAGTTGTGAGCTATCCTTTATATCTAGACAATGTTGAATTCCATTATATTCCAGTGGGTTGGTTCCAAAGTGGCCCAATCACAAGTGGAAGGCACTTCAGCTTGGGCAGGGAACAGAAGAGGCTGCCTTATGCCAACTGGTTCACCCAGCTCAGACTATGCTAGCTGGCAGCAGCTCTCCGGGGTTTTAAACAAGGGACGTTCCCAGCCCTACCAGATGCCATGAATGTTCTGCATGCAAAGCAGATAGTCTACCATTGATCTATGGCCATCACCAAGGGGAAGCTCTCAGTTTCTGCTACCTCCTCCAGTGACATCCTTCTATACCCCACACTGCTCTCATAGGTTTCCCAACACATAAATGTGGTTTTTCACAGGACACAAGCAGTGGTTCCAAAAACAAAAGAAAGAAAGAACCATCCCACAAATGGAACTCAACTCACATTGAATTGGATGTAAATAACTGTATCTCCAGTTTCAGGTGATTCATCATTTTAAAGCTTTGGGCCAAAAAGTACAACTGCTACAAACACCTACTGTATCCTCATACTTCAGATTCTGGCCCATCAATCAACCAGTTCAAATTCTTTCATTAGTCAAAAGTCTTACATTACATCAGTAAAACCTTTTAGCAACACACATTTTCTGTTCTTTATGCTATAATAGGTCATATATAATGCACTACCATGCCATTTGGATTGAGTCACATCCTGTAAAAGATATCACTAGGATTAGGAATAAGATGTATACCGTAATTGAATGTTTCCTTCTTTTGTGATGCGAGGCAAAGAATAGCAGACCTCAGAACTGTCATTTTACCCAGGACTGAGTAGTGTTGACTCCTCATAAAAGGAGTTATTGGGGCATTGTTTCCATCAGCTTTTAAGCTAACCCTTCCACAGAATCGATGTTTAACATGCCAGGGGGCTCTTAACCACATTTGTAGGTTATCACCCAATGTCTTATGCTGGAAGCCAGCAGGGACTACTTTATCTCTGAAACGGCTCCACAGTTTACATGGGCCAAGAGCCCTGTAATGAGAAAAGATTCAAGCTGAGAAGCTAATGAACTAAAAAGCAAAAGTGCCCTGGGAGTGTATGAAACCTTGTAAATTGCTCTGGGTTTTAAAATTAGTTCTCCTATTGATACAAACATCAGTAATGGTTTTATAAAATGGGGAGTGGTGCCCACAGGCAGGGGAGCCAACTTGAATAAAATATTGGGGTATTCCCCACCCCACATTATTGATCACTCGATCATAACATTGGGTAATCGATCACATGATGCGGTGAATGCACACCATTTGAATGGCAGTGCGCATCAGCTTTGGGGAGAGCGGTCCCCTCATATATTTTATGAGTGGGTGGGTGGGACGAAGGGACCTCGGCACCTAGGAGTCGGCTCCAATGCCCACAGGTGCTTTCTACATGGAAACAGCAGGATAAACTTGCCCCAAACTTAGCGGCGCGATAGCAGCGAAAGCTCCTTCTTAGTTGAAGGTAAAATGCGACTCGGATGCTGAGGCTGCCGATTTGTAAAAGAAAAGAAAAGAGAAGAGATGGTCGCAGAGCGCGATCAGGAAGCGGATCCACTCCGCATGCAAATCTGTCCATATCCATGTTGCCTCCCCAACCCCATTCCGCCCATCTCCCCCTCACCTGAACTTTGAAACTTTAAGGTGAAACAAAACCCACGTACCTTTGGTCCTTTCTCCCTTCAAATCCGCAGCAGCTGCTTATCCTAAGGGCATTGCTTTGGAGACAAGCGTGTTCTAAAGCGCTCTTGGGGATCCCATGCTGGCTTGAAATTAAAAAAAGAAAAAGAAAAAGTGAACAGGTTGGAATTCTAATTAGAAGACACACCTTCTGTTTGTGGGTTGGAGGCCGCAAGGCTTTCTGGAACTCTGAGTTCCGATGCCGCCTAGTAACTCCTACTGGAAGAAAAAATGAACTACATTACCCATAAGTCCACTCGACTCACCTGGGCCTCCACCTGAAACTAGGAAAGCTGGTCCGGCCACTGAAGTTTCACCTGAGGGCGGGAGAGAGAGTAAAAAAGAGGGGGAGTCGGGCTCTGGATTTTGTTTTCTTCGGAGTTTGCTCGGCTTGGCCGAATGGGAATTAAAGAGTAGAGAGGAAATAACAGAGCCGAGGAATGCTGGGGCGAATTCTTTGCTTTTTAGATTTCAAAGCTGTGAGAGCTTTAAAAATAGCCTCGAAACCTGAAAGACCGGATTATGGATAGGAGAAACTCTGAGCTGTCGCCAGGCAGATAAGCTGGGGTGTCACGAATGTTTTAGTCGTTGGGTATAAAAGAAATAGGGAAATGCCACTAAAGGAAAACAAAAGAACAGGTGACGTCTTAAGAGGTGGTGCAGGAGAGGTTGGAGACGTGGTTGCAAAATAAATAATTAAATCATTATTTCATTCATTCTAATATTTATATCCCTCTTTTTCTCCAAGGTGCTCAACGTAGTGCCCATGGTTTTCCACCTTTCTATTTTATCTACACAATGACCCTGTGAGGTAGCTTCAGGCTGAAAGACTGTGACCAGCCCAAGGTCACACAGTATGGCTGAGTGGGGATTTGAACTCTGAACTCCCAGGTCCTAGTCTGACCCTCTTAGTCACAACTTTGCACTACCCCATACTGTCCCAGCTTTTGGAGACCAAAAACCAGGGCATGTCTCTTCTGAGGCCTGCTCCTGGGTAACTCACGTGACTCATGTCTCACTGTCGCCCCGAAAAGGGCCTTTTTCCAGGGCAAGAGTGCAGCATGAAAGTGTGGCACCCAAAATGGCAGGTATGCTACCTGCACACTGTACTTTTCATTAAGGTGCAAGTGCTACGTGTCTCCCGTTCAGTTTTTATCCTGGCTGGGCTCTCAAAAGAAGATAACAATCCTAATCTTGATTGAAGTAGCCTATCCTGATTTTAGACCTTTGTTTTTATTTGCACTGTGCCTGCTGTGATTACTTGACTTCTGCCCTAGTGGCAAAGTTTATTCTGTGTAGTGGATGCTCCCCCCAAATTTCCTGCTATCCCATTCACTCCCCCAGCTGCAATATATTAATGTTTTTAATAGGCTGCATCAGCAGAAGTATAGTGTTCTGATCAAGGGAAGTACAGTGGTACCTTGGTTTATGAACTTAATCCGTTCCGGAAGTCTGTTCTTAAACCGAAGTGTTCTTAAACCAAGGCGTGCTATCCCGTAGCAGCGGGGGACTCAATTTACAAATGGAACACACTCAACAGGAAGCAAAACATGTTCTGCTTCCAAGGCAAAGTTCACAAACCAAAACACCTACCTCCAGGTTTGCAGTGTTCTTAATCCAAGTTGTTCATAAACTAAGCTGTTCTTAAACCAGGATACCACTGTAATAGTCCCGCTCCATTCTGCCTTGGTCAGACCACACCTGGAGTACTGGGTCCAGTTCTCGGCACCATAGTTTAAGAAGGTTATGGACATGTGCAGAGTGACCAAGTTGATCAAGGGTCTGGAAACCAAGCTTTATGAGCTTTATAAGGAGCTGGGTATGTTTGGCCTGGTAAAACAGAAACTGAGAGGAGATATGATAGCCATCTTCAAATACCTGAAGGGCTGTCACATGGAGCTTGTTTCTCCTGCTCCACAGTCTGGGACCCAAACCAATGAATTCAAGTTACAAGAAAGGAGATTCTGACTAAACATCAGGAAGTACTTTATAACAGTAAGAGCTTTATGGCAGTGGAACAGACTCCCACAAGAGGTGGTAGACTCTCTTCCTTGGAGGTTTTTAAGCAGAGGTTGGGTGGATATCTGTCATGGATGCTGTGGTTAAGATTCCTGCATTGCAAGGAGTTGGACTAGATGACCCTTGGGATCCCTTCCAACTCTTAAATTCTATGATTCTATGGAATCCTTGGGCCCATAATAACGTAACTCGTTTTTCTGGAGCTGTTCCTGCCTGGTGCTCTCTAGAGTCCAGGAGTGGACTTCAGCCTACCCAATTGTTACTACCATATCTTGGGGTCTTGTCATTTGGTGGTTCAATTGTATTTAGTGAACAGAAAACAAATGTATAGAACTCTTACCTTCAATTCCCCACCCACACCCCTTTATTTTAATCAATGCATATGTATTGAATAGAAGCCCTCAGAAGACCTCAGTTTCCATTAGCTCCTGGCCTGTGTGCTTAATACTGTACTAAATCATCAGACCAGGCACAATTTGACACAGGGACTCTCTTGGAACTGTAGCACTTTATGTTGATCAAACTATAGCACTTCCCCAAAAGATCAAATTTTAAAAAGTGACAGAGAAATGCATTGGAAAGTGTGGGATATCTGCTGCTTTCACACAATGTCATCTATCTAACCTCCCCGTAAATAAATCGGAATGAATGGCAACATCTTCTGATCTCCCTGCAAACAAACCAGGATGAATGCTCAATGTAAAGGGTGTCTAGAAGTGCCCTTTATTGTCACTGCAAAATGTGTTGGACGCCCCATGCCTTCTGAAGTTAGAATTCCTGCCCTGTGTTATCTGTACCTTTTATTATGGGTTGTCATGTACTACTGTGCTTAAACTTTTGTTTTTTTAAAAAATGAGCACAGGTGCACTTGTGGAAAATGTGGCATTTAAATAAACTGACAGTGACTATTTCACCTTAGACACAATGCAGCAAGGACTGGCTTTCCAAATGCTGCTCATAAACGTGCTGGCAGTCTAAAGAGATGACAGCTAAAATGGTTTTTCCTAAAGTGCCAAGCTGACTACTGGCAGCTCCAGGCATTGTATATGGACCAACTTATTGTATTACCTCTTAATTAATCTCTGGCATTGATTCATTGTGCTAGGGCTTTTCTATAATGAAGCTTAAATTAGGATGCACATTTCCATAATTTCAGGCCTCTGATATTTCTGAAAGGAGAGCTATTGTATATACAAAATGTTGGGAAATGGTTTTCCAAATCACCTTTTTTTAAAAATTCTAGTTGATGAGATGTTTCCACAATGACCAAAAGCCTTGTCCCTAAGTATGAGGCATTCACATTTAGATGAGTCCATCATTAGCTGCTTTGAATGTTCAATGTAGTGGTGTTACTAAGAAGTACTTTTGCCTCCAGACAACCAGTTTATTGAGCGCTTATCCTGATTTGTTTGCAAAAAGCTTGCACAGAGGTTATATGCACAGAGGCACTGTTTGTTTAGCAATAATTATGATTTGTTTGTGTGGAGGTTTTATGGCAGCTGTGTGTTTTTGATAATTCAGCCTGAAATCATAGTGCAGAATTTGTGGAATTTGTATTTTTCGTCTTCTTCTTCTTCCTCTTTGTTAGGATATGTAAACCACTTAGAGATTTCTGCTGAAATATGAAGTGGTATATAAATGAACTAAACAGACGTTATGCAACTTCCCATCAATCGGTTGTTATCCTGCCCTTTCTAGTGCATTTTCCGGTCACTTTCCTTACTATACAAAGTTCTTTTTTTCCCTTCTTCTTTTTGCTTCAAGTGGGTTTTGTTGCACAAGAACTCTTTAATTGTGCACATCTGAATTTCCTGGTGTGCAGCTGAATCCCTCCTGCAAAACAGTGACAGTCTTGAGGGGACCTTTTAATCAGAGTATCTGTGGACAAAGGAACCCACGTGCCATACAGGGAAAGGAAAACAAGCTGCCTTCTGATTCACGTGGCAAGAATCATTCCACAGTTTCATTGGTTGAACAATCAGGCGAGTTTTGGCTACTGTGTCACTGTTATTGCACAGCTTGTGGTTAGGACTTAATAATTAGAAAGGAGCAGTCACCTTGACTAACAAGGTGAGGCCTGAACTGCAAACAAAACATAGCAGGGGTTTGCCCAGCACGTGAGATGCACAGCAGCGATACACGGTACATATCTGAACATATAACACTGCCAAACACTGAGTTGTGCTATCAAGTCTGGCCCTGACTAGTAGCAACTAATCGAGGAAACAAGCAGAGCTCTTTCCCAGCCTTGCCACTGGAGAACTTTGAAAGTGCCAGGGACTGAACCTGGCAAGTTATATGGATCCAAAGTCACTTTGATGACACAGAGTGGTATGCAGACCAACTACATTGTGCTGCTTTTAACTTTTAAGGGCTTAATTGGCTTGGGGCTGAGTTACCCAAAGGACTAGGTAAAGGTAAAGGGACCCCTGACCATTAGGTCCAGTCGTGACCGACTCTGGGGTTGCAGCACTCATCTTGCTTTATTGGCCGAGGGAGCCGGCATACAGCTTCCGGGTCACGTGGCCAGCATGACTAAGCCGCTTCTGGCGAACCAGAGCAGCGCACGGAAACACCGTTTACCTTCCCACTGGAGTCGTACCTATTTATCTACTTGCACTTTGACGTGCTTTCGAACTGCTAGGTTGGCAGGATACCCAAAGGATTACCTTCCCTCAACTTTAATATTAATATTGTCATCATCGTCTTTTATTTATTTATTGCCTCCTAAACCACCATCTGAGGGAGATTTACCCATAAGATTTTTTTTTAAAAAAAAGCACTTTTTTCTTTAGGTCAAAATTAATATGTTGGCATTCAGCAACCAGTTTGGGGTCTTCTATGCCTATGTACAGAAGATTCTCCCTGGAGAAGATCACCTGGTGCCTACATTATGGAACGTTAGGCACAAACGGAAGACTTTTTTTTATTCTCCCAAAATTGTTAACCTTTCATTTGCAGCAGGCATGTAGAATTGTAGAGTTGGAAAGGACCACAGGGGGCATCTAGTCCAACCCCCTACAATGCAGGAATATTTTGCCCAATGTGGGGCTCAAACCCACGACCTCGAGATTAAGAGTCTCATGCTGTACTACCTGAGCTATCCCAGCTCCTCAATAATACAGCTTGGGTGCT